AAAGAGATTAATGTCTTATGGGGCCCACTGATAAGTTATGACTAAGGAAATTGCATGGCCATGCTGAGATGCTTTTATGACGTCTGTTCCTATTAGTCAGACTTGATAAATCAGTGAATGACTTAATGGATACAAGTTGGATTTTATTAATCCCTTGCATTAAGTTTAGACATTGAGACAAAGGGATACAGTTACACGGAGTCTGAGTCGTGGAAAGGTTTTGACGATGCAAACGTCTTAACTTATAATCTGGGGGCAATAATATGTTGCTAGATACCGCTTATTGCTTATAGTATTGGTGCAGAGCCAATACTGTGGCCAGCTTTATAAGTGCATATACGGGTCACACACTTTGGACAATTTAAGGAGTAGGATTAAACAATGGGATAATAAGTAATTTGTATATTTGTAAAAAATAGTAAAATAAAATATTTTGGAATGTAATATTTATATATATATATATAAATATTCGGTTATATATATTATATATATGTGCCGATTATATATATATGTTATATGTTGAATATTTTATTTTGGTTTGTCATTTTAATTATGAAAATAATTATTTTGACATAAACTATTTAAAGTATATTTGTATACTTGTTTAAAAATGATGTTGGTATTTTATTTGATTTAAAATTAATTTTATATTAATTTTTTGGTGTCAAATAAAATACACTTTAAACATTTGAGTGGAGAAGAATTTCACAAATCCTTCTCATATCATTGTTCGGCCAAGTGGAGATTTTAAAGGATCAAATTTCCATGATTGAAATTGGTGGAGCTAATAATGTTTTAACCTTTAGCTTAATGACAAAGTATGATTAATCAATTTGTAATCTTTGTTTTTAAATAACACGGCAATTTCATTTTAAAGAGTGAGGATCATCAATTGATTACTTAAGCATACTTAAGCATACTTTCGGCCAAAATTTTATCTAGTGAGATAAAATATTATTTTGGTTCCACACATATCATTTTGTGTATAGAAAATATCTATAATATTTTCTAAATATTATTGGAAATATTTTCTATAGAAATATACAAGATTATTATTATCCCAAATTTTAATCTTTATATTTTATACTACTATAATCTTTACTAGCATAAAGATTGTGGTAGACTCCGGCGTTGTTCGTGTGTCAAAGTTGGAGACCAGACGCTTGAACGGTTATGTTTGCACTTTCAACGCTCTTCCTACGACTTCTTCGTTTTTACCGCTTACGGAGAGAGGTATAAATTTCTTACTCACTATAAGTTTTAGTACGTGATTCTGCGCAAGATAATTATGTTAGGATGTTAAAATTTTTATATTCCGCTGCCTATCCTTGCATGGTTACCTTTCACATCCTCCAGTCTTCAAAAGCTAGCGCCTCTGTCTCCTAGGAGGATCCTCCACATCCTTCTGTCTTCAAAAGCGCGGTTGATGGCAGCTCCCAACAACCTGATTGCGGCTGGTCATTGTTTGACGATCTGATGTTTGATACGCTCTGCGATCCTTCCGAATTGTCCCGAGCTGACGAGGATCCTCCGTCTGAAGCAGCGGTGGGAGATTCATCTGGAATTCTCAAATCTAAGAGGAGAAGAACCGTTTGATCCGGTTGTTCTCACATGGCGTCCGGAGTGTGGAATTTGAGCTGCGAGTAAGGGATTAAGCTCCTCACGAGTAGATTAAGAGAGGATCACTCTGCATTTCCAAATGGCGGGGCTGCCTCCACGTCGAGGAGAGGAGGAACTACATGCTTTTTAGAGGGATCATCAAGAACTTCAAGCAGTCTAGGGTTTGGAGGACGATCAACGACAAGAACCGGAAACAAACAGCTCTCAACTGTGCATTCTGCACTGCCAAACACACCTGGGACCTGTATTCTGCATTCTGCCTCAGAAGGTATTTCGGGTTTCACGAAGATGGCGAACAGGTTGTTCGAGCCTATGTCTGTGAGAACGGACATGTTTCAGGTGCTTGGACCGATTGATCCTTGTACACCTGAATCACCATCTTTTTTCTCCTCTGTTTTCCTAATTCACTCATCATGATTATTCTCAAAAATCACTTCTTGATTCATATTTAGAGATGATTGGGTGCTAGTAGTAGTGATCATACTGGCTGGTTTTCTCAGTTCCAAGAAAACATGGATGAATTGTTGATGTTGTTGTATCTATACATGCATATTCTATATTTTTTAGATTTGGTCTCAAGTCACTCTCAACATTTTTTGTTTGATTATCCCTTTGCCATTGATTTTTCTTCATAATGTGATCATGTTTCTATAAATCAATCTTTGTGTTTGTCATTTCATTTCTATTTGAAAGCATTGTGCCCTTTGGCAACAGTTGTTCTATTGTTCTTTATAGTACTTGAATATGATGCACCTTATAATGGTGGATACCACCAAAATGTTGCCTCTCTCCACTACGTCGATATCCCCAGATTCTCATTGGCTAGTGTTACTTCCCGTTCGTGAAACGTCCAAGATTGGGTACTTGGAGACATCCCAACACCCAAATCTTTTGCAGAATTTTGAAATGTTGATGTTTTCATGTTTTTTACCTTGTTACCATCTCGGTGCAACTTAGTTCATGTGCACTACTTATATGTAGTGTGTCTGTTTTTGTGATTGTCTTGCTAGGGATCCACACAAGAGAGGGTGTCTACCTGATAGTAGTCTTACCATTAAAGTCTTAGAGTAAGATTATTGTTGTTTTCTGAAGTGAGTCATGTTGTGCATTGCCTGACTCAAACTCGTACTCGTTCTAGATTATTTTACGAAGTGTTTAAAAGTCGAGATGTCCCCAAGTACCCGAACAGAGACGTTTTGGGCACAGGAAGTGACACGGTGTGACATTGTAAGAATTCATGCTATATTGATGCCATTTATGCTCTCCAAGAACAAGCAAGCTATACCTTGATGACCTGTCCCCCTTTTACTTCATTCTAGTTTCTAGCTGATTAATATATCTCAATAGGTAGGAAGCGCACTCCTTAGAATTCATGCAGAAATTTATCTAGGTTCAAGCCCTAGCAGAAACAAAAGCATTAGTGGATCATTAGATTGAGAATAGTATGAACAGATATTACCCTATTATAGAGACAATAACATTACCCTGGATTCTCTTAGCGATAGGTGGAACTCCCCATCGCTGCTTGGCATGGTTTTGGAATCTAACTCAGCTAAAGGACCACTTTGTTGAACAACTTACGCACCTCGAGAGGTGTTCTTCAAAAATCAAAACTTTTGGAAGATTAAACAAGAATTCGCAGGATTATATCAACCACAAGAAGACAAAGATGAAGAGAAGGAGCAACACATGAGGTATACTGGTTCGGCCTAATGCCTACGTCCGGTCCCCGAAGCAAACGTGCCCGAGATTCCACTAACTTCGTCAACCTTAACAGAGTTTGACAATCCAATTATATTACAACTCGAGAACTTGAATTCACAAGCCTCTAACCTTTCCACCGAAGTCTTGATTTCACAAGACTCAGAATTTCTCTCCAAAACTTGAATTTTATCAACTTCAAGTTTTTACAATTCACACCGTTCCAAAACAAAGTGCACATCAGAAATACTCTTCAAATTAAGAGTGGATTGTTGTAGAATACAAGATCTTATAGAGTATGGCACACAAGTACTCTCTAAAACTCAAGCAAATATTGATTTCTTGAAGAATCACTTGGAAGTATTGTTGAAGGATCAAAAGTATGAATTGAAATGCTTAGATAATTTAAAGAATATTTTTGAATGGATATATATAAAGTTCTTTAAGCAAGAGAGCTGTTGTATGAATTTTATGGAAGATAAGAATGGATAACTTCCTTAAAAACTGATAAATCTGCAGTTCAAACTGACGACTTATTCGAATAAACTCAAACTTATTATCTGAATTGTTCTGAGCGAAAACACAGACTTATTTGACTAAGTGAAGACTTATTCGACTAAGTCACTCTAGGTATGAAGAAATGAGCTACAAGACTTATTCGAATAATTTTCTAACTATCTGAATAAGACAGAACTAAGAACTCTTACTTATTTGAATAATACAAGAGTTATTCGAATAGGTTTCACAGTTTTGAAAAAGTGATTTTACAACTGACTCAAAAGCAATTTGAAGGGTTTTTGGAAAACATTTTCAAGGAGGGAGACAAACTAACGTGCCATACACTTTAACAAAAATGCTAAGACCTAAACGAAAAACAAAAACACTATATCTTCACACTTGTCTTGAGATCCAACGCATGATTGTGAATAGTAACATCCAAAGTTCCAAGCTCATGAGATAGTTGTCATTATCAAAACACAAGGGTCAACACACTTACCCATCGATGGGTAATGTAACGCCACAACCCGGATACCCAAATTTATTCGAATATCCGACTCGCGGTGTTAACCGGTGTAACTTTTTGAATCAGAAAATGGAGCATTAAACAAAACTTATTTATTTATGGATAATATCGGAGTAATTATTATACATGCGGAAGCTTAACATATTCGTACAAAATATATATTTCAAAATAACATCTTTATTATTGTTATCGTTCTTTATGTCATCTCATCCATCCTTCCATCGCCTTAGCATTGTCCTCCGATTCGATCATTATTCTGTTTGTGTACCTAAAAAAATGGAGCCAACCCGATCAGTAAAAGCTGAGTGGTACCAATTACAACAATAGGTACGAAATATAATAACGTAAACATTTACTTTTCTTAAAATTCTTTACTTTGATAATATAAACATATTATTCTATAAAACTGTGGTATCAAGAAAATCAACTTTTCTTTTACTCTTTGTTTAACTAGGACTTCAAGTACTTCGGGTACAAGACGAGTCCATTATCTCTTTCTGGGACTTCAAATACTTTGGGTACAAGACGAGTAGTCCATTATGACGAGCTCGTGCGTACGACAATGGAGGGGTACTGGTTAATCCTGTGGAACTTTGTGAACCGTAGTTCACATACCAGAAATCGTTTATTAAATTTAGAAAATATAATTTGTATCTGTATGTGTCTCATTAACTTTTTTGAATCCATATTTCAAATTTAACACATATTATATTTTACTCTATATACGTAATTTAAAAATAATACATAGAGTATTTTTATTTGCTTCAAAGCTATCCTTTTTTTCTTACTCAAGACTTATTAAAAACTTCCTTAGCATGTAGAGAAATAGTTTTAGGCATAGAATGTAAAAGAATCTTGTCACTTGGAGTTGGTCGTTTCCAGTCACCTTCTCCGACGAGGTAACTTTGTTTTTATGTTTAAAACCTAATTTTTCTTCTTTTTATCATCAAAATACTTTTTATAAAACATATATAAATAGTTTGGACGTAAAGATTTGTACAAATTGTATGCCGCTATCGTGACCCATTTTCTAGTTGCATGCCTTCTTTAACGGTATTCAAAAATTTGTTTCAAAACCTTTTTTTTCACTTTGCATACTCTTATATAATCTTTATATAATCCTTTTGGGAAATATTTTAGACAATTTGGACGTAACGCATGTTTAAAGTAAAAGTCTGCAGTGTTCCCAATTATTATAACAAATATAGCATGTATTAATGTATTATATTAAGTAACAATTGTTATACGTACTAACTGTACTAACTGTACTTTAAACACCCATATATGTTGTATATAGAGTTTATGATGAGTATATATCAAACTTAATGTATATGTGTATGTGTTGATAATATGTGTACACAGGTACATGTATATATATTTAATACTTCCTCCGTCCCGGAGTATTTGTCCAGTTTTAACTTTTGGGGCTGTTCATCTAAGCACTTTTACTCATCAAATTCTCTCAATGTGTAAGCCTAAATATAGTCATGTGTGATCTTGTTTGATTTGTAACATATAGATTATTAATAAATAATTTCTATAATTTTTTAATATACAAATTACAAGATAAATTGGATTAAAGAAGTGCATTGGATGGTGTGTAAAATGAAAGTGGACAAATACTCTGGGACGGAGGTAGTATAACATAGAGTATGTATGTTGATGTGTCTATGCCACTACATGTACGTATATATACTATTAGTTTCTTAGCTAATAAGGTTTCTTATATGGATAGTGTTGGGATCACTACAAGAAAAAAAGGACTTTTAATTAGGGATCAATTATGACGGGTTAATAATACTTTCATTAAATGAATTATTTGTACATTTTTAATAAAGAGAAAAATTTGAGGAAAGGTCCTTTATTCGTTCCAGGCAATTCGGCGAAGAAGAACGCTTGAAATTCGGGATTTCACACATCTATTCGCGATTTCTTTCTTCGTTCTTCCAGATCTATCGCCCGGTCAAATTTTCGACTGATTCACAGGAGCAAAATGCAAAAGGAAAGAATCCGTTGACGTGAAATCTTCTTCCCATATGAATGTCTTATCTCGCCCAAATTATGCATGTTTTTCGCGTCTCCGCCTCACGGATTTTACACAGAAGGAAAGTCTCGACTTGAATCCTGATTCAAAGGAAAAAATCCGATTGCATCCGTTGTCTGTAGCATTACACGGCCAGCCCAGAGGAAATCCTGCCGGGAGGAAATTGCAGCAGCCAAAATCCACGGACTCCACCGGCTCCACAGAAATATCATTTCTACTTACAACTGGTATGAATTCATGAACGTATTTTGCCTAACTCGAGTAATTTTTGAAACTTAAATCTGCATCCTTGCATCTGGATTCATAATAATTTTCAATCCCTAGCATCAAATTGTGAATCCCAATTCAAATTAAATTTCAATTTCCACATCTTGATTTTTTTCCCCAGTGGTGTGCATTTTTGCTAATTGGAAACCTAATTCAAATGGAAAGTTGAGATAATATCATACATTTTATGTTTCATTTCGAGTATTCATATTGATGGGGACAATACGAATTTGATTATCTATTTTGCTGCAAGAGACAAGCAAATAAGTCTAGCATATTAGCTTGATTTCTAGCATTCATCGCCATCTTCAATTCATACAATTTAACTGTCCAGGTTTCTTCTCTATTTTTTTAAATGATTACTTTTCATCTGTTTCAATTCATCTTTATGTATTAGTATTTTGATAATTGTTAAATTTTAACCAAATTTTTTAATTAGAAATTCATATTTAATATTTTAAATTTTTTTATTCTATTTTTTGAAACAAGTGAATTAAAATAGTAAGTTTAATTGTAATTAGACGCAATGAACAGTTGAAATTATGGAAACATATATGACTTTCACATTTTTTTTATTGATCTAGATGATCTAATCTCAAATCCTATTTTCAGGCCAACTTCAATGATAAGTTTAAAGCAAATTAGAAGAAGTGGGGGGTGGAATCAACAACAACTAAGCCTTATGTGATGGAATCATGGGAACAAAATCCCAAGCCAAGACAAAGGTAAAGCAAAGATTTCTTTAGAAAGAATCTACCCAAAGGATTACTTGAGTGTAATTTATTTACATTTTATTTTATGTTCCATGTTATTTAAAAGCGTAGGGTGCAATTTTGTGTAAACAATCTTATTTTATTTTTTTGTATGATCACTACTACCTAATGCTGGGTCATTGTCCTCTAAATTCTTCATAATATTTTTTACAACATACTCCTGTGTATGTGTTTTTGCTAATGTAGTTTTAATAAGCATTTCATGCATATCTTCTGCTTCGAGTTATTGCTTAGGATGCTGCAAGCATTTCATCCTATTTTTTACTCTTTTATGCTATAAGTTACAGACTATAATATCAACAATCATTTGGATTTTAAATAACTTAATCTCTGTAGTGTGTGGTGGACATATGTAGTATACTTCCTATAGGATTTTCTTCTTATCCCCAACTCTATCGTGCATCCCATATTCAATTCTATCGACCGGAGCAGCAAGCTGATTGGCAGCAAACCATGAAAGTGGTGGCCTTAGTTAGCGACCGCAAAGACAACTGTTACGCCATGATGAAATGCATACATTACAGTCACAATGTCTTCTCTCCCACATCTCTCTCTGCTTTGTTTTAATACTGGCTAATGCGATTAAACGTGTGTGATTTCAGATAGTTGCGCTGGCAATTTAATGCCAACTGGTGATGCCCAAGGCATGCTCGGCAGCTACATATATCAAACCGTGAGCTTCACTTTTACTTTTACATTTATCTTCATATGTCTAGCGAGGAAAAAAGTGTTTGAAATCATCGTGAATGTGATGAAAATCATGAAATGGTTGAATTGGCAAAATCCTTTAATATAATATTTGAGAGTTTGATTCCTAAGATTTCAAAATGGTATACACCCTCTGATTTTATATATCATAATCTGCAATACGCTGGAGTTTTATAAAGAAAAGGCTGGACTCAAATTTTAACCCAAACTTAAGGGTTGAGTAAAGCAAGGTTAAATATATTCTTCAAAGCAAGGTTGTAGCCTAAGTAAAATGAAAAATATTGTTATATTTCTCTCTTACTTTTTGAAATGAATTACAACTACATAAAGCAAACAATCAATCCTAAGATACTTACATCATGATTATGCATCATTGGGATGATGTAATACTACTCAACAGCTAGATTCTAGACCTACTTAAGTGCTAAATTCTACACTCTGCGTCAAGTCGGTGCATGTAGGTCATAGCTAAAAGGAGACAAAATATTTTAATATTTCTCACTTAATCGAAATGAATTAGAATTACATATACCAAACATGTCTTCTTTCAATTACTTTGTCTAAAATTGGTTCCTCATGTTATGGTATTAATATGACATTTAGATCCATTGGAGCATGTCAGTTCACACTTTAGCATCATTTTCTTTGAGAATATCTGAAGACAGTGCCATTGCTCAATTGTGCAGCATTAATATTTAATTCCTAAACATTAATGTAATAGTTTCCCAGTGGGAAATGTGCTCAACATTTTTTCCTCTATTAAGGGGGTAGTGGAAGACCTAAGGAGAAGCAGACTGAGATGATACACCTCACTGTGGACATGACTGAAGATAGGAACCATTGTAGGCCGACGATTAGAGTCATAGGGTAGACTTTGTTTGAACTGCTTAGCTAGGCATTTAGGTCTTCCCAAGGTTATGTGGGTGTCCCTGATGTGGCCTTTTGGGAAATTAACCTAGAACAGGTTTAAGTCCCTGTTTACTTCACAAAAACATATAGGTTTAAGAACACTCGTGGAAATAAATTAGTCATTTTGAACTCATTTGCACTGTCTATTCTGTCGTTGCAGTTTATGTTTTTTTGAGCACTTTCAATAGGCTGGACTCAATTATATTATAACCCCTTTGATTTTAATGAATCAGGAGGCTATAGGCTGGAGCTTATTTAAGTGCAACTTGGACACAAATTATGTTACAAACTTAATGATCAACTTCAGAGCTTGCTTATAAATGTTTAAATACATTCATGGAAATTACATATTCATTTTGACCTCATAAATAACTGTCTGTTTAATTCCATTGCCATTTAGGTGTACATCAGTTTATCTTTTTTTACTACTGCACTTTATGTTTGTTGAGCAAAAATGTTCAAAAAAAATTGTGAATGAAATTTGTTGCAGTTTATGAACCAGAGCAATGTTATATTCAGCACTATCTGTGTGTTTGTTGAGCACTGTGAATATGAAAATTTTATATTTATCAAAGTCTACATTGGTAAACATTATATACAGCAACAGTGTTATATTTGCTGCAATGCTCAATATGACATTGATGCATGTGGTACACCGCGGTTTCTGTTTAACTCCTCGGCACAACAGTTTATGTTTGTCGAGTAAAAATAACATTGTGAAATATAATATTACTTCTTGCTTTTGGTGTACTTACTGATACTTATTTGAATTGTTCACACAGAATGTGCCGGGTGGAGACATACAACCGGATCTCTTTAACAGACTCTTGATAGATAACTCATATCTTTTTAAAGTTGAGGTCAGGCCTGCACACTTCGATGAATTCGATCCTTCCTATAATGTTATTGACATTCGTTTCGATGAGAAAATCATCTCGCAATTCAAGGAAACGAATTCGACATTTTTCTTGGTCCAGGTTTGATTACATACAGAATGTAATAAAAATTTGTGGGAAACTTTTGTTACGAATAATAGACACGTTGATTTTAAGATGCTAATAAAATGTTGTTTTGTCAAACCATTGGTAATAGACCGAGGTTTGGGACTTTGAACTTGGAGGAAATCATCACAACATAACTTCACTGTGGGCGATGCATCATCATGCATTCATGTGTAAAGGTTAACATTCTCAAAGACCTACTCAAAGATATTAACCTTTCTAAGTGAGATTTTATAGGAAGGAATAACATGAGTAAAAGTGTGAGTCTAAGTACTCTCACGTACAACCATTGTTTTTTTTAATTTAGCAATATTTTAAGTAAAGGATGTTTTAGATATGTATAAAAATAGTCCAAACTACCAAACTATTTTTAGAGGGCGGTTTCCCAGACTACTCAAAGTAATAAATCATCTTAAAATCTAGATCACAATAATCACACCAACTGTGGTATTGTTAATGTAACTTGAATTAATTTCTTGGTTTTGTATCGCAGAATTTGATTGAAGATTTTGTAAAATCAAAGGACAATCAGTTTGAACGACCTGGAGATCATATCACCGACTACACTGTGGACAAAAGAATGAAAGAGGCTGAATATTGTGATAGAGACGGTGATGAATCGAGCAAGAAAATGAAGACCATTAAAATAGAGAAAAGTTGAGAATAGAACTCCATAGAGTGAGCTTGAGAGAATTAATAATATTCTTTAGGTTTGGACGTGTGTTACACAGGTTATAATTTATAATTGTCGGATCCTTTGTTGTTTAATTTTAAAAATATTGGATTTTTTTATATATTTAGTTTCTTTAAAGAAGATTGCTGACGAAAGAGTTTTAGCGATAGTAAATTTCACTTTAAAAGAGATCGATTTATTCCCGTGTCGTATTCACGTGGATTGGTGTTAAAATAAATTTTCTATTAAAATCTAGTTAGGCAAAGTTTTACTCATTGGTTTTGGAAGCCTTCTAAATTCGAAAAGTGTTTGTGGTTTGGAATTAAACTGAGTTGGACAGAGTAATAAAATAATTGTTTGATAAAAAGGAATATGAATTAATTTCAGGTAGTAGAAATTTTTCAGATAATTTAACTAGTTGAATTATTAAATTAACTAATTAATTTAGCTAGTGAGTAATTCTGTCACAATAACTCCATTAATTTTATCCTATCTCTAGGCATTATTAATGTGCTAGAATTGATTGACTAAATTATTTTTCTCATTCATTGACAAATGGACATAATAATTTTTCAAACATTAATTAATAAATTGGCCAGATTAATTAATTAGAACATTCAACAATTACTAGCAACTTAACATTTTAATTAATTAAATTTAATACTCCAACATAATTATTTTTCCTACATTCCTACTACCCTAATTTCAATTCACATTCCTAATATGTTTAAAAAGACATAAAATAATAAAAAGTGCAAAAATTGAATGACAAAACATGTTTATAATATTAATTAAAGAAACTTACAACTTCCAGAAAAGCGGAATTGGAACAGAACTGGGATTGAAACTCCCAAAATAAACTAAAACTACAATTTTTATAAGAAATTTCGCTGCTATGGAGAGAAGAAAACGGAGAGCTGATGATGGTGAAGAAGGCTGATCGACGCTGCCTTTTATAGGCCTAGGAATCTCCGGGGCGGGGTGTGGGGCGGCCGCCCGGAAGGTCGCCCTAGGAGGAATATCCGAATATTCCGCCCCAAGTTGCTGCCAGTTGCGATTAGCTACCGTTTTGATTCCGGGGCTGGGTCCGGGGCGGTCGCCCGACAGGTCGCCCCGCAGACGATAAAAATATCTCTGCAAAATATCCGCCACTTGCTTATATCTGTCATTTGGATCCCGGGGCTGGGTCCGGGGCGGTCGCCCAGCAGGTCGCCCGGCCCAACCTTGGATTTTGGGCTTCGAATTTCTATGGCAAGCTCCATATTTTGTGCTGAACATTTTTCTCTTCTGAAGCTATGGACGAAATTGAGCTTAAACATCTCAAATATTTTATTTTCTTTCAAGTTTTTATCCTGTTTGAACCAGTTTCTGTTTGAAAATTCTAAATTTGTTTTGAACACATTTTTTTATAAACAAAATGACATTTTGAGAAACTTAGAAAAGAAAATAAATATTTTTACCTTAATTAAATTTATTTACATACAAAAAACGTTTAAATATAATTAAGAAAAATAATAAGTACAAAATGTACTTATCAAATTCCTCACACTTAAACGTTGCTTGCCCTCAAGCAACAAACTGAATAACTAAAAGAATAAGGACAACTTAACACATTCATGAAAAATATTTACACAATCTATTTGTAGGAACAAGATATTGGACAGTCATCAACTTAATTTTCTAAAAAGAAGTTTAACCCATATTATTAGGAAATAAATCTTTTGTCAAACACATATTTTTATACAAATTTAATCAAATTTGGTTTGCATGATCAAAATTTAGGAATATTGGTGTTATCAAAACCATGTTCTCTAAATTTTAAGTAACAATTTATTTAGTTACTTGAATATTTTACAAGGTCAAAGAATCTTTAAGAATTGAATTAGAAAATTGTTTCTTGAAAATGTAACTTTCTCTTTTATTTTTTTTAAATAACATCACCTTGTCATGTTGACACGAGCACAAATCTTGATCCTCATCTCATGACATAGAACCACGAGCTTTTTGGATTTTTATTCACTCAAAAACCTCATCACACGACATGGAACCGCATGCTTTTTGGCACTTACCCAAAATAAGTCTCATCATCTGATATAGAACCATATGCTTTTTGAACTTAAACTCACTCCAGAACTCGTTCTCACCAAGGTGTGTTTGAAAAAAAAGTTTTGAGAAAGAATTTTAAAAAAACAATAAGTGCTCATATTTTGAAAAATAGCGGAGCAGTATCTTAAGAGATTTCTAATAAAACAATTAAAGATTATTTGACCTTACGAAATATTTTTGTACAGAATAAATATTTCCTGAAAAGCTAGAGAGCATGATTTTAAAACAATTGTTAGACCAAATTTTGTCAATTTGTACCAAAATTTTTCAAAAATTTGCACAAAAATTTAAGTTTTGAAAAAAATTTAAGTTTCCTTATTTTTAGGGTAAACGAATTTTTCTTAGAAAACTAAAGTTGATGACTGTCTATATAATTTTCCTACAAATATAAAGATAAATTATATTTGTAAAAAGTGATTCAACCATAACTCTCTCCTCCTCACACTTAAACGGAACCGCGCCCTCGCGGGTTTTAAAGTGATTAGAAATTAGAGTTATGGTGGAAGAACTTGCATGCAAAAACTAAGTTGTCCTCACACTTAAAGATTAACAATATGCTGATGTAAATAAAAGTAATTAAAAATAAAAAAGGTTACCAAAGGTGTGTTCAAAACAAACTGAAGTTCCAACCATTCCTGAGTCAAACAAACAAAACATAAGAAACATATTAGTGCAGGGAAATAGCTCACTGCCCACGTCCTCCTCCTTGGCCGCGACCGCGCCCTCTCTGGCGAGTGGTGCTAGGGACTCCTTGCTGTGCCTCTACATAGTCCAAGATATGGGCAATTTGTGTACCCTGCTCTGCAAGGCTCGTCTCAATGCGCTGCTGATGATCATGGATTTCCTTCCAGCAAAGCTCCTGACGTTGCTCAAAGGAGGTCCACCACTGCTCATAAAGCTGGAAGCGTGAATCGATCGATGTCCGGAGATCACCAAAAGCAGTGGTCAGCTCCTCAAATGTGGTAGGCAATGGACGTGGAACAGCAGAGGAAGAGGCTCCATCGGCGGGCATGCTTGCCGGCATGTATGAAGGACTGCCCGTGCCCGTGTCGTGATTTGGCTCGTATCTAGTGTCACGTGGCCTCTTTCTGAATCCCATGTGGATGAGAGACTCAGAAGTGATAGGCCGTACACTAGACTCCTCTGGGAGAAGGTCTGAGATGACTATGGTAGGCATGAGGGCGTACGCCAACAGAGTGATAATGGGTCTTGCCTGGATGTGATGGCGGTTTCCTGTCGACTGATCAAACAGGAAACACCCAACAAAGGAGGAAAGGTCCACAGGTGTGTGGCTCTCCAGGCTCCAAAAGAAGATCAGATCAGTGTCGTAAACTCTGTTGGCGTTCTTATGACTCCCAAAGTAGCTGCAACAGAGGAGGTGACTAAGTATCCTCCACGCAGGACTCCTCCAATCGGATGATGAGCTGTACTTGTTGCTGAAGTCTCTAGTGCTATGTGAATGAGTCCTCCAAAATGCCTTGACGTCAACATCCAACGGAAGTCGACGTGGCAGGGCGAGAAAGTCTGGTGAGCTCGTCTCCTCATGAGTATAGATCCCCAGCAGTCGTCCTAGATCAAGAACGGGGATATCAAACCTCGTCCCACGTAGCGTGAACGTCATATGTACTGAGGGATGCACTCCCTCCACATCTCGAACTCTGCTCCCATAAACGCTGAACCTCAGCGAGCAGATGAACTCCATCGTCAGTGGCACGCTAGCTTGTGCACGGAGTGAAAGCAAACGCCTCCATTTGGGGTCATGGAGGAAGTCATCAACCTCCTCCCAATACCCCATGTTCTCCAGCGCTGCATGGTCCAATATCATCGGCGGCGTCAATACCTTCTTGCTACCCCAATCCCGATATCGATCGTGCGCCTCGGGGGTAACAAAAGGTAAGTCTAGTCCATTAGCAGGGAAATCAGCCATCTGCACAGAGTTGAACAAACATGTTAAACTTGCCCCCAAAATCTGGTGCGACAAGTACTCTTTTTTTTGTGTTCTATGTTCTTTTCTCTCTTATCTCACAAAATAAGTGTGTTAAAAATGGTAACCGGACCGATTCAAAATATTCGGGATCGGGCAGAATGCTGCCAATTAGGTGCTCTTAGGCTCACCCGAATAATCCTTTCTACAGAATGACCCAGTAGGAATGGTGGGACAAGTTCAGCTCCCGAAGGCGTCACCCGTTGTGTCCACTTAAGTACCATTCCAGCTTAGACAGTCATTCTGTACACGGTACAGATATCATTTTTATCACACAAAAAGTTTTTCTGTCTATTTTTTTTTAACGGGTTGCCTCCCGTTCAGTGCTTCTTTAACGTCATTTAGCTGGACGCAATTCTCCTTCTTCAGTCCTCCAAGATTTGGAGGTACATCATGGTTTTCTCTCGGAACACATCTCCACCCTCAAATTTCTTCAGGCGGTGACCAATGACTTTGAATTCCCCATTCTTCCCTCAAATTCCTAACGTTCCATACGGATAGACCTTCACCACTTGAAACGGTCCAGACCATCGAGACTTCAGTTTTCCAGGAAACAACCTCAACCGGAAATTGTACAGAAGTACTTGGTCCCCTTCATGGAACTCTTTGGATTGTTTAATGTGCGCATCATGGTACTTCTTGACGCGCTCCTTGTATAGCAGATTATTGTGGAAAGCCAGTGTTCTCCACTCATCCAACTCATCCAACTGGTAGAATCTCTCCCTTCCTGCTGCTGATGAATCCAGACACACGTTTCTGAGTGCCCAGAGTGCTTTGTGTTCGATCTCGACGGGCAGGTGACAAGATTTCCCGTAAACGAGATGGAAAGGAGTAGTTCTGATGGGAGTTTTATAAGCAGTTCGGAAGGCCCATAAGGCATCATCAAGCTTCAAACTCCAGTCCTTCCGAGTCTTAGCAACAGTCTTTTCTAGGATTGCCTTCAGATCTCTGTTCGTGTTCTCCACTTGGCCTTGAGTCTGGGGATTGTAAGCAACACCCCCTCTGTGTTGGACTCTGTATCTCTGCAAGGTTCTGGCCAAGGGATCATTTCGGAAATGGGTCCCTCTGTCACTAATCAATACTCGAGGTACTCCGAACCTCGCAAACAATTTCTTCAAGAAATGCACCACCGTGCGTGCATCATCCCTTTGACAAGCTTGGGCTTCGGCCCACTTCGAGACGTATTCGACCGCCACCAGGATATATTTATTTCCGTATGAGCTCGGTAATGGTCCAACAATGTCAATACCCCAAACATCAAATACCTCACACGGAAGTATATAATGTTGTGGCATCTCATCACGATGGGTGATGTTTCCCGTCCTTTGGCATTCCTCACACCTGGTCACAAATGTATGGGCGTCTCGAAAAATGGTGGGCCAAAAGAACCCACTGTCCAGCACCTTCCGTGCGGTTCTTGTTCCTGAAAAATGGCCACCAACTGGCCAGCATGACATTGTTTCAGTATCTCTTCCCCTTCTTCTTCATTCACACACCTTCTCACCACCCTGTCAACGCAAATCCGGAACAGGTAGGGGTCCTCCCAGAAGTAGTGATTGGCTTCCCGTTTGAGCTTCCGTTTCATATGAGAAGAGACCATGGTAGGTTCGATATTTCCAGCTAAAAAGTTAGCTATATCGGCATACCATGGTGACTTCTCATCAGCTCTGAGTATTCTCTCAAACGGAAAAACCTCATCGACTGTGCATTCTCCAAATTGACTGGCCATGTCTGGTTCTAGACGGGATAGGTGGTCGGCAGCCTGATTTGCGGACAAACTTCGGTCCTTGACCTGAACTTTAAACTCCTACAACAATAATACCCAACGTAACAGCCTAGGCTTCGCGTCATTCTTCTGAAGTAGATATCTTAACACCGAATGATCGGTGTAGACAGTAACTTCCGACCGAATGGGGTAAGGCCTAAACTTTTCCAAAGCATATACTATGGCAAGGAATTCTTTCTCGGTGGTGGTGTAATTCAGTTGTGGCCCTGACAATGTTCTACTAGCATTGTAAATAGGATGGAAGTTTTTACCCTCCCGTTGGCCAAGAATAGCCCCTATCACTTGATCACTAGCGTCACACATAAGCTCAAATGGTTTGGTCCAGTCAGGAGCCACAAGGACTGGTGCGATGGTCAATTTTTCCTTTAGAGTGTTAAAGGCTTTTAGGCATTCGTCATCAAAGTCAAATTCTGCTCCTTTTTCTAGCAGACGGGTCAAAGGCTTAGCTATTTTAGAGAAATCCTTTATAAACCTTCAATAGAAACCAGCGTGGCCAAGAAAGCTACGGATGGCTCTAACGGAAGTTGGTGGGGGAAGTTTCTCTATCGTTTCAATTTTTGCCTTGTCGACTTCGACACCCTTGCTAGAGACCTTATGCCCTAGTACGATCCCTTCCTTGACCAAAAAGTGGCATTTCTCCCAACTTAAGGCCGGGTGGGTCTCCTCGCACCGCTTCAACACCTTCTCGAGGTTATTGATGTTAGACAAGGCGTGCAACTCTAGAGGGGGGGTGAATAGAGTTGTTGAGAATGTTCACTGATTTTCGCAGGATTAATAATATAAACCTAAGTGCAGCGGAAATAAAAGGGAGAAGGCAAAGAACACACCGATATATACTGGTTCACCACCTCGTGGCTAGTCCAGTTCCCCGAGAGACTCTCTCAAAGCTACCACTACTTCCGTTAAGCTTACGGGTGCTTAACAAACCGTTTACAACTCGAGAACTTGAATCCCACAAGCCTCGACACAATCGCTCGTAGATATGCCCTCTACAAGACTTCACAACCAAGACTTAAGTCACATAAGTCTTGAATAACAAGAAGAACAATCTTCTTCAACCTCACAACAAAGACTCTCACAAGAGTAGAAATGAGAAAGGATTAAGCTCTATGGATGACAAGAACACTCTCTTGAAAACACTTAGTTTTCTCTCAAAATATATCAATTTGAGGAAGAAATGAATGGAGGATTATAACCTCAAGATTGGGGGATTTTAGGAGTGCTTGTTCTTGGTAAAAAATGACCAAGGAGTGAAGTTTATAAAGGGGTTGAAGGAATATATTCGTTGGTCTAAGAAAAGAAGCTGTGATGAAAAAATGCAGCATCATAATCGCTTAATGCATCACTATAATCGATTAATGCATCATAAAAAATCGATTATGTCAGCTGAAAAAATCGATTAAAATTGCCAGAGCCAAATTCCTTCTGCGCAGAAAAGTGATAATCGATTAAAACCAAAGGTGTTAATCGATTAGTTCCTTCGGGACGCGATAATTGATTAATTCCAAAGGTAAAATCGATTATTGGAACAATAATGCCTAGATATGAAGGACACAAGCATGTGGGCGAGTTGGGAGGATAAAACGGAGCGTATATGTTTGTTTGAGACATTTAGAACAGGGGTAGGAGGCTCCCCATCACCTCAACTATTATTCAAAATAAATTTTGAATAAATGAAAGATATTTGTAGAAATTGAGTCCCAAAACTATTTTGTGTGTCAAACGATGTACACAAAAATATTTGAATAAAATATTTTTACTTACCAAAAATATTTTATAATATCAAAATAAATATTTGATAAATGTTTGGCACACCTTTTGTAACTGACTCAATAAAACTATTTTGAACAATTAAAAGATTTTTCAACTGACTCCAAAAAATAAATATAATTTTTATTTTAACACTCATAAAATTAATTTTGGAGAGAAGATATTTTTGTCATCCTTACAAAAATTCCTAAGACTCAAATAAATAAAAAGTCTTCGGAAATCTTCTACTCCTCCGGGCCCTCCGTTAGGCGCTCCGAACGCGTCTCGGACTCCAAAAAATCCTGTGCACCTTTTTGAATACTTCAAAGAATGGCACTTCAAGTCTTCGTGTTTGTCGTTGTAGCACTTTGATCTTGACTTGAATAAATTGTGTTTGTCAATTATCAAAACCTGTGAGTCAACACTTAACAACACAGAAAGGGTTGAACTCATGCATTCAACAATTTCCCCCTTTTTGATAATGACAAACACATGGAGGATATGCTACCAACAAATAACAAATCAAAGCATATACTCCTATCCTCTTCCCCCTTTTGGCATTATCAAAAATAATACAACAAAAGAACTCATGCATTCCGGGGAGAGAAAAACAATTCTAAACAATTAAGAAAAATCACATTCCCCCTAAAATCATGCATTTCTAGGAAATAAAAAACTTTCCCCTTAAAGTATGCTACCTCCCCTAAAAAAAAATTAAGCATACAAAAAGATTAACACATAGCAAAAAAAAAATTCCCCCTTACTATATTCAAAACATCCTATGTATATTCCCCAAATAACAAATATCACAAATAAAGATAATATTTAATTTAAAAAGAAATAGTATTTACTCCCCTTTGATGCAATCTCTTTGGCTAAGTGCTTGGAGCATCCACTACAAATTTGTAGCCTTCAAGCACACCTTCCATTGATATCTAAAAATAATAATTTGGTACCCAACCACTTTTGGGTCCTTGATGGTTAGGAACAAAATAATCACAAAATAAATCCCTATGTTTAGTAAAACATACGGGTGCTATGTGACCTACCCGATTGCAATAGTGACATATTACGTTCGGGTTGTGCATATGCCTAGGTTGAGCCAAGTAATATCTAGGTGATCTAAAATCATTATCCCTAGAGTTAAAATTCCTAGACTCATTTCTAAGTTTTCTAAAAACATTCCTACCATTTATAAAATTCCTAGAATCATTTCTAGGTTGTCTAAAAATTATCTTATCAGTTTTAAATTTCCTAGAGTCATTTCTAGGTTGTCTAAAATTATTCCTAACATTTTTAAAATTACTAAAATTATTTCTTCTAGGTGGTATATTTATCTTAACATTTTGAGCAATTTTCTTAGGCTCTTCTACCTTAAGATTTTCTAAGGTCCTCTTAAGTTCAACATTTTCTACTTTTAAAGAATCACAAGAAGAACAAGTAGAACTATGATCAATAGCAGAAGCTTCATTCATTGCCTTAATTTTATTTTTAAGGTCAAGATTATCATTTTCTAAAAATTTATTTTCTTCTTCTAAATCATGAAGTTTAACTTTAGCCTTTTTGGCAAATTTTGAAGCTTTCTTGAATTTACCAAATAGTTCTATAAAAGCTTCTTGTAGTTCTTCAAAAGAAGGAGAGTTTGAAGTACTTACCTCTTCTTCTTCATTGGCCATGAAGCAAATTTGGGGTTCTTCAATTGCCTCTTCAAGAGTTTCATATTTCTCCTGAATGTCGTCCCATAATTTCTTGGCCGATACATATCCCGAGAAAATTTGGAATACTTCCACGTCGATGGCACAAAATAGAAGGTGTAGAGCTTTAGCATTTTGTTCGACCTTCATGAAATCATCATCTGTGTACTCCTCTTCGGATTTGAGGATTCTTTTCTTGCCAACCTTCTTTGTTAGAAGACAAAGTCCATTGTTGATCCTCATCCATGATTTGTAATCAACGGATTGAATGAATATTTTCATTCTCTCTTTCCAATATGAATAATTTGTTCCATTGAACAACGGTGGTCTTTCGGTGGATTGCCCTTCTCTAATCCCTGCGTTCAACATTCTCAAAAAAATTTTTGATCGTTTTCTCAAACGTCACAAAGAGCGTTAGAGATACCTGCTCCGATACCAATTCTTAGACAAGGCGTGCAACTCTAGAGGGGGGGGGGGTGAATAGAGTTGTTGAGAATGTTCACCGATTTTCACAGGATTAATAATATAAACGTAAGTGCAGCGGAAATAAAAGAGAGAAGGCAAAGAACACACCGATGTATACTGGTTCACCACCTCGTGGCTAGTCCAGTTCCCCGAGAGACTCTCTCGAAGCTACCACTACTTCCGTTAAGCTTACGGGTGCTTAACAAACCGTTTACAACTCGAGAACTTGAATCCCACAAGCCTCGACACAA